TTAAATAAATAATTTTCCATATTTAATTATAATTAAAAATATAAAAATGTTTAAAGTTAAAATATTGTAATGTAATTGGTGCAATTTTCATTTTGTTGATTGTGGGTAGGCTGTCTGTAACAACTATATCTTTAAGACATGTAACACCTCAGTCTTTCCCGTGACCATGGATGCTGTAAAGCATTCGAAACGTCGGGAACAAAAATCAAAATAAATCCGCGAAATAATCCGAAAAGATAGTTTTATTTAATAATGTCAAACATTCGCGTAAATCTAAGAAAGTATTACTTAAATTTGATGTATAAAAATATTTTTTGTGATTGCTTATATTTATTTATTAATATTCGGTATAATGCCTTTGACATTATACCATATGTATTTTTTGGTTGTACTTGTACATAAATTTAACAAAGTATCTTATCAGCATCGATGGTTCAGTGGTAGAATGCTCGCCTGCCACGCGGGCGGCCCGGGTTCGATTCCCGGTCGATGCATCAATATGTTTTTACTAATTTACTTTTTAACATTTTATTATATTATATTATTGTTACTTGATTGATAATTAAGGACATATATTTATTTATTACTTAAAGACACGTTCTAAATTTTTCTGCATAATAATAAACATTTTGATGGTAAAAAGAAAAATGCTTTTTATCCTACAATCATTCATTTCCACATATTTAATTATTAAAGTTTTCTAAGAATATAATTTGTATATACATATATATATATATATATATAATATATATATATAATATATACATATATATATATATATATATACCTATATCTTACTTATAAAACACTGTAACCTATATTCCAGATATTAAAATCACCGTCCTCCCCATCTGACAAGGGTTGAACATTAACCATGACCGTGAAAGGGTTGATCAAGTTAGTAGGGGACGTTCATTTAATTAAACCGGTCAAGTGCGACGCAATAAAATGAGCTTTTAGCTGTAAATAGAACTTAGCTCTAGCTTATTGTTAACTTTACGATCAAATTGAGTGTGACATTGAATGTAATAAGATATTATATTAATATATTTAGTTTTTAGCAATTTTGAACTACAATATTATAAGGCAGTAGTGGCCCAGTGGTTACGCGCGTGCTTGGAAAGCTTGTGAAGCGGGTTCGAATCCCAGTTCTCACACCTCTGATATTCTCACATTCTTACGGTGAAGAAAAATATCGTGAGGAAACCAGCATGTCTGAGAGAATGTTGCAAGTTTTCGAAAAAAATATGAAGACCCGAGGGTCTGGGTCTCACCACACTGGCCAAGTCGGGTCCTGACCCGACTTGGTCAGTGTGGTGAACAGTGAATACGCCTTGATCCTCCTCGTAAGAAGACCGTCCAGCAGTGGGACGTTAAAAGAGCTTACAATGAACTAAGCATATTACTTAATTTATCATAAAATACTTTCCAGATATAAATGTGTAGGACTTAGGACTAATGTTATTTTGAGACTACCGTAGAATCAGTGCATAACTGTTGTATTGCTATACAAATATTAATTTTAAAAGAACAACTGTTGAGTTTCTAGCCGCCTCTCCTCGCCAGAATTGCTTTCCGAGCCGGTGGCTTTAGCTTGTAGCTTTCTCATGGGCTCTTCATATTGACATTTAATTTAAAAAAAAGTAAAATTGACGATTCAAAATATAATATACTAGGGACTCACCCTCGCTTCGCGCGGGTTCGTCCCTAGGTGCGTTTTAATTTTTTGAGCGGAACCCTAATTCTTTTTTTTCTAAAATAAAAGTAGCCTATGTTACTCCCTATAACATTAGCTATCTTCCAGAGAAAGTTCTGTCAAGATAATTCCAGCCGTTTCAGAGATTATCCGGTACAAAGAAACAGACAAACAGATAGACAGATAGACAGACAAAAAATTAAAAAAAATGTGTTTTTCTTATATGTACCGTATATAATTTCATATGCATTTAGTAAAACGCTGTTATTTTGACATTACAAACAGACACTTCAATTTTATTTATCTGTATAAATTGTATATCTTAGAAATTGATAGTTAGATCTTTACTAAGAGGCAGAATTTGTTTATTTATTTGTTCATTCGTTGGTTTGTTTCTTTGTTTGAATGCGCTAATCTCAGGATTTACTAATCCGATTTGAAAAAATCGTTTTGCATTAGATAGCCTGTTTATTGAGGAAGGCTATATATTATTTATTATATAGTTTATCTATTCCATACTCACAGTTGAAACGTACGTAGAGACGAACCTAAGCAGCGAGGGTCAGTCGCTAGTAGTAATATGAAATGAAATTAATTTATTCTCTTCATAGCGTATAACTTCCCGTCATTATTTATTATAACATTCAGTGCAATGTGTAGAAATTGTAAATTATATTCAATAAGGAAACGTAACAGTTGAGACATACCGCAAATGTCGTGGCAAAGGTTTGCTTACAATGTTACAAGTTACAACGTTGTTTATTATTTAATCTGCGCAGTGAATACTTTTTTAACATAATTAACACCTCCAGGTAAATTTCTAAGAAATTAATTAAAACTCTAATACCCGATTTCACCAACAACCCATAAGCTACCACCTACGTATGAGATCACTAGCTTAAAAGTCCCCTAAACTAGCCCTTAAATTAAATTTCGTTTTACGATCGTCTTTAAGCCCATATTTCGAGCACGTAAATTTAGGGGGCTTTTTAATATTTAGGTGACCCCTAACTGTCGGTGAAACAGAAACTGTCCCCTAACAGCCCCCTAACCATGCTTAGGGTATCCCTTAAACTTAGGTGACATTGGTGAAATCGAGTATAAGAAATCTATTGTTAACTGACACGCCGGCGTGTCCACGGTCGTGGAGGGATTAAACCTGACTTTGTTGTAACCGGGGAGTTTCTTAGCGTCCGGCAATCCAGCTTAGAGTGAAGCCAAGATACGCACTTGACAGCGACCTCCTCGGTGGGTGGTATACCATGCGGGTTGCTCGTTGTACTTATCTGATAGCAGAGTGGACCATGGAAGCAATCCTTTTGTTGTTCTGGTCTGCTTGTACGTAGGAAGTAGAGCGTGAGTGTAAGGTTGGTTCTGTTAAGTTTTAGTGGGTAAAACTGATTTTGTAAGCCGGTAAATCCATCGATCAAAAAAGTACTAGATACACAATCCCATGCAAAAGTTCTCTTAAAACTTTAGTTTAGGTTTAGTTAGTTTAGGTAATTATTCTAGTTGAAATAAATATACAACAGTGTAAATTGAAACTTCACTGCAATACTTAAAGTTGTTGTAACAAAAAAAAATTAAAAGCGCGCTCAAATGTTCAAATGAGCGCTCATTCGATGAGGACTTTTATTGTCGCTGATTGTGTATCAAGTACTTTTTTGATCGTTTGGTGAATATCATATAACTTACCTGTACCTGTATGCGTACTTAAATGCATTTCCCAACGTCAAATAAATGACAAAACTTTGTATGTGTATATTTGTTACTCCTCCACACTGAAATGGTTGGATGAGTTTGGATCAAATTTTGTACCTACCCAGATGAGCTATAACGGGGAGTAAAATATAGACTACTGTTAAGCAACCAGGGGCGTACCCTGTCGAAGCGAGGGTAAGACGTTAGTAATGAAAAACAAAATAACAGCATATAATCTTTTTAATCTATACAGATAAATCAAATTGAGGTGTCTGTTTGTTATGTCAAAATAACATAATAACATTTTACTAAATGCATATGAAATTATATAATTTCATATGCATTTAGTAAAACGCTGTAGCGTATATACGCCACTTATAACAAAAATACACATATTTTTATATTTTTGTCTGTCTGTCTGTTTGTTGCGGATTATCTCTGAAACGACTGAACTGATTTTGACGGGACTTTCATGGGAATATAGCTGATGTTCTAGAGAGTAACATAGGCTACTTTTGTTTTAGAAAAAGAATTAGGGTTCCGCTCAAAAAAATTAAAACGTACCCTAGGGACGAACCCAAACTATTTCCGAATAAGAATAAGTAAATGTTAAGACTGGCTAATATTACTGTCTTTTATAACCCATCGGTTATCCATTGAAAAATTATCGTTACTTTATAGATAATCACGTATTTTTAAGTAGGTAGGTAGGCTAGTAAGTTAAACTGTCAGTTAATTTAACTGCCAGTAAGTTAAACTGTCAGTTAACTTGACTGTCAGTTTCTTTAACTGTCAGTTTGATTAATTGCCAGTATCGTTAACTGTCAGTTAGATGTCAGTTTGAATAACGGCTAGTAAGATTAACTGTCAGTTAATTTAACTGTCAGTTAGTTCAACTGTCAGTTAGATTAATTGTCAGTTAGCTTAACTGTCAGTTAGTTTAACTAGCAGTAAGTTTAACTGTCAGTTTGATTTAATGTCAGTAACGTTAACAGTCAGTTAGTTTAACTGTCAGTTTGTTTAAGTATCAGTAAGTTTAACTTTCAATTTTGATTTACTGTCAATAACTTTAACTGTCAGTTAGTCAGTTTGTCAAAAGTCAAAAAGTCTGTGATGATGTAAAAAAAGTAAACAGGCAGATTAATGAGTCTAAAAGAATTTAGATACCTATGGATATTTAGAACTCTAAAAGTTATTATTAAAATATACGTTAAACAAACATTTTAATTTACGCACTAGGCTATCCGGCAACAATTATTTGGTACAAAAACCATAGATAGTTTTGCATTGACGACATAAATAGTTATGCCTAGCTCTGAGCTACATAGCCGTTAGACCGACGTGAATGGTGCATGAGCACGCGTCACGCTTTCATTCCTTTGGAACTCACTAAGCGATGCCATATTGTATGGCAGATTTACTTGAGCTAAAGCAGCAAGGGGTTGGTTGATATATTTTATACTAAAAAAAGTTTATTATAACCTATTCTTAATAATTAAAAATTGTTATTCTTGTAAAAAGTCTTTAATACAAATATTTTATTAAGTTAACGAATGAGCTGCTTATAGATAACATTTATTATATTTTATAAATTAGTGTTTTATCTATCAATATCTTGTGGTAATACAACTTGCTTTGCTGTTCCTCGTGTCCGAGTTGTTGTGATACCTGACGTCGTCATTGTTGCAAGCATTGTTGTTGTGGCAGGTTCAACAATAATTGTTGTGCTCGTTTCTGTTGTAGATTCTGCTAGTTTTGTTGTTAATTCTGTTGTTTCTATTGTAGATTCTGTAGTTTTTGTTTCAGATTCTCTAGTTTTTGCTGTAGATTCTTTCATAGTTGGTATAGATTCTGTTACTTTTTCTGCTATTGTACTTATGCTTTCCGAAGTCAGCATTTTGGGTGTCGCAATAGTTGTATTTTTTTTTCTTTCTGGAACTTCATTTTGTGATTCCACATTTTGTGTTGTACCAATATCAATAATCATATTTTCCGTTTGATTTTTCCATATTTTACTATCGTCCGTGTGTACAGACGTTTTTGTTTCAATGTCATAATTGTGAGTACTTGTCGTTATGAATTCGTATAAACTTTTTGTAGATACCGACGTACCGCCATCAATAAAATTGTCTAAAATTTCTTCAACTTCATTGGTTTGTGTTTCTGGTATTTCTTTTACTTTTTCATTCCAATCCAATCGAAAACATGTTTCTAAACAATCTGATTTATTCTCAAACACGTTATCAGGATATGGACATCCACCCCATATAATAGAAACGCATGTGTTTAAAAACTTATTGTAAATAAATACTTTAGTAAGATTATCATTACAATATTTGATGTTTACTGGGTTAAGGCAAACTGCTGGAAAATTAAAAAAGTATAATTTAGTACATATTTTTTTAATACTTCATTTTAAATTATTTTATAATAAGATTATATTTTAACTTAATTTTCAGTTTCTTTGAATGTGGTACGATTGACGTAAAGAAGACGCACGCTTAAGTGGTGCATGTAACGAGAAAAATCTTTATACCGCGAAGTAGAAAACATTCAACTAGCATTGCTTAGTAGTGATATGTGGTAAGATTTTCATAAATTAAAAAAGTATATGTATTACATCATAATATTATGTACATATTTTTTAAGGAAGACAATAATATAATAACATAAATTTACATGAAAAGAAAGTAAATTGAAAGTACAAATATACTTAAATATATACACAAAACAAATATGCACTTATTTATTACTGTCACAAGATGTCCGCGTGGAATTGTGGCATGAAATTGAATTTGTTTATATTATATACTAGCGACTCACCCTCGCTTCGCTCGGGTTCGTCCCTAGCTTGCTTTCCAATATAAAATTTCATCCCCGTTTTTACGCCCTTAAGGGATGATTTCCGGCATAAAAAGCATTATATGTCCTTCCCAGGGTTTCAAAGTATATTCTTACCAAATTTCATCTAAATCGGTCCAGTAGATGAAGAGATTACCCCCTACAACGTCACAAACTCACAAACTTTACCTCTTTATAATATTAGTATAGATAATGGAATAAATAATAAATATGAATACTAATATAATAAGAAATATAAAACTAGCAGTTTCTGACTGTATGGACTATGGACAGATGCCCTCGCATTGAGAGGAGGCTAGTAACCAGCTGTAGGACGTAAAATTATTTTTAAATTATTATTATTAAACATAAAATGTTTCTGGTCTAGTAAAGTGCTAGTGTAAAAAAGAAATTGACAAACCATTGGCAGCCTTTTTATTTCCCGTAGGTTTTGAACCATTTATTTCATTTCCAAAATGAAATATACAAAGATGCACGCACTCTGCTTGAGATTCAAACTTATTTAGAGTAGGGCATCCTCTCCACGTCTCTTTTTCACAACGAGAACCAGGCTTGTAATATGAAAATACCTGCTGCGGCGCTACTTTACAATCAGATCGGTTGAAATTCTCAAAGCAAAAATCTGGTGGTACTGAAAATGAATACGTTATATGTTGATTTTTACTAAAATTGCTTTATTTATTGGTACTTGTCGCCAAAAATAATCTAATTTTATTTTGAAAAGCCGTAAAGTTCCGGGCCGTCCCGGAAACTTGGTCGTGGGTGGTCTCGTGTCCCGGGACCTTGAAAATGTCGAGACTTCCCAAGCTCTACCGGTACATTACATTGTCCATTACGCCATGATTGCTAGAGTGTAGAGTATTGGAAACGTCGGGATCAAAAAATCAAAATAAAAACCGAATTAAAAAAAACTAAATATATGTTAAAAGAATGGATGCAAAACATAACATTAAAAATGGTAGCGTATCTAACTGTCATACTTACTCGAGTAACTTATTTGAACAAGACTTATTAAAAAAACAATACTTATAATGAAAGAAAAATATCGTTTCAATATTCCCATAATATTGCGTTTTTGTCACATAATGGATATTGAGAAACTAATTACGTGTAATTACTTTTTACGTTCTCATTTTGAGTTAATATTTTTTTTAATTATCATTTATTATCGTGTCACGTTTACCTACTAAGGTATTATTTTCAGTTCTTTGAAATTCAAAGCGCATAATATATAGATGGTATATAGATTGTAGAGTAAAAACATCACTTATACGCATTTCAAAGGCCCAAGTTTGGTTTTTGTGTTTATATTTTATTTTAAAGTAATTTTTAGAAAATTTAATTTAATTATTACCTTATAATACTTTTTTAGATTTACGCGAATATTTGATATTTTAAATAAAACTATCTTTTCGGATTATTTCCCAGATTTATAATAACAATTATATATATATATATATATATATATATATATATATATATGTTTAAACGCCTTTGATACGTCTAACACCTTAGTCTCTCCCGTGACCATGATTACTGTAAAGCATTCGAAACGTCAGGAACCAAAAATCCAAATAAATCCTTTATTTGGATTTTTTTTATTATTTTTATATTATTTGATTATGGAGTAGCTTTTACAAATTATTAAATTCAATAAAAGTTAAAACATAATGACATTATTTGATATAGAATTAGAAAAGAAAACTAAAATATTTAAAAAAAAAAGTATAAAAAGAGACTTGCATCGACCGGGAATCGAACCCGGGCCGCCCGCGTGGCAGGCGAGCATTCTACCACTGAACCATCGATGCTGATAGTCTTTAAGTGAAATTTAGTCTATATATATTAACTTTAGTCAAAAATCTAACTATTATTTTGAAGAATTTAAATAATTGGTATGAATAATATAAATTATTCTTTTTATAAAAATATGTAAATACAAAAAAAAATTAATTCATTTCAAATATTATCTATTATATGATTTATAATAAATAGTAAAACTTTTTACTTTAAATATTAAAATATTTAATAGTAATTAAACATTTTAATATTTAAAGTAAAAATATTTTGTTATCAGCGCCATCTTTATTTTACAAATTAAACTATTTCACACATTTAAATTCACCTAAACTTGTAACTACATAGTTCTTACTACGCAAAACAGATGGCGTTATACCAAAAAGTAATGGTAGTAAAAAATAAGAACACGAGTTGGTCTCATAGTCGTTTACTTATAAATTACGATTCCTACAAATATGCTTAAATAAATATTACATAATAAATAACAGTCATTTTGCTAATTTGTATCAATGCTCTTGTCCTTTTGAGATCTTATGTTTATTTACTTTACCATAAACTTAATTAAACTTGTATTTAATTGAACCATATCTGATTTGTCTGTATCTATTTTAAATAATAATTTACATGAATACCCCCAAAATACTCGATGTTGGTAAGTTACATGGTAAAGCAAAATTATCTAATTAAATTGTTGCTTAAGATTTTGTATGTGTATTTGTCACAACTTCATTAGGGGAACTTGCTGCTACTGCGTTGTTATTCTTCGATTTCAATACAATATATATACCAAGGGCTGATAATATTATCTGAAAGAAATACATTATGTCCTTAATAAAAATATTAAATTCATTCATTTAATTAAAAATGTGGAGCGAAGTCCCAAAATTTAAAGTTTCTAAACAAAAATTAAAATTATCAATAATTTCTTCAAACTTACTAAGAGACAGATATATCATTTATTTATATATTATCTTAAAAATTAATCCCCACTATTTATCTTAATTGAACTGCCTTCAAAACGTATATATTATGCATGTAATATTTGTTTTATTTTTAAATATTATTTATTTATTACTTAGACCTTACCATAAATATCATCATCATCATTGTTATTGATTACGTGGTTTCCAAAAAAAAAACCATAGACACACAAACATACAGTGAAACCAAATACCTTACTTTCTGAAATCGGTTAAATTCTATAAAAATTTTGTACTTACTTCGACAATAATTATACTAGAGACCACTGCTATGGCTGTGTTACTTGTTCGTCTGTGGATTTCTATCACCGGGTCTTTGCATCCAATGTCATAATATTCCTTTTTAGCTTTACAAGATTGTCTTTCTCGTTCCTGTACCAACTCGGTCCGATCTTTGTCGTATCCAGGGCAACAAGATATAGGCACATTGGGAGCAAAAACAACTGGCAAATTGGGATTTCTGTAATCATTTGCACCGTATAATCCACAACAGGCTAGCTGGAATTAAAATATAATATTGTGAATACTAATAATAATGCGTAGAGCTGAAGATTGAGCTTAGTGACGTGATATAAGAGAGACCTATGTCCAGTAGTGAAGCAGGCAAATTATGATAATCAAGATCACTTTCATCAAGTATTTTTATTTAACCGTATGGTATTTAATATTGATTTAAAGGAATTTATTTTATAACAGACAAAAAGTTAAAATAAATGTTTTCAAATTTGTGTGTCTGTCTGTGAATGTTTGTTGTTTAGATTATTCATATAAATAACTAAGGTTTGTTGGATGTTTTTAAATAGATTATTTCAATTTTTTTTCTAATCTTATAAGCATTTAACACAATTCGTTCATACAGAATTACTTACGCCATGTAATTATAAATCAATAAAGAACAAAACAATCATTTTTTTAAATAAAGTGGTTGAAATAACATACATCGTGCTGTATAGCAGCCCAGAGTTTCAGGTTTCGTTGGTCATTGTCGCGGGACAGCTGAAAAGATTCGGAGAGAGATCTGCTGAGATTTAATTCATCTCCCTCAGTGACCTTCACACCTACGCCTAGGATTATTGCTTGTATGAACGCCAAGACGAGTAGAGTTGTGGATGCCTAGAAAAAGTAAAAAAAATGACGTGATATTAATTGATGAATGATTTTCTCCTGACCGATTCCGGCCACGGCGGTCAATCTCATTGAGAGTAGCCAACTGCGGAGGAGATATTATAGTGCACAAGTGTACGCGCAGACACAACGTGCACTCTCTATTCCTCTCACTCTCATACTCCGGTGGGACGACCGCTCGACACGACCACTATATTAATTAACAACAGTTTATTGTGATTAAATTATTTAAATTACGGTTTTTTGACGTTTTATTTTAATTTTTTTAATCCTGACGTATTGTTTGCGTTATAGTAAGAACATGGTCACGGGAGAAACTTATTTTCTTGATTGGCTGATGGAACTAAAGGGCTGAAAAGCCAATGTAGTAGTGTTCTGATGTCCTTGATATTATAGTAGGTACAGTGCGTGTACGTGCAGACTCTCAACTCTATTCCTGTCAATCTCATACTCCGCTTGGAGGACAGATAATAACTTTCAAAAAAGGTTTTTTTTTTAATTAAACTCCTAATGAGTCTATAAAGTTTTTACCTAAATATTGTATAATATTTTAACTCACTTTTTAAGTATTATTAAAGGCATGAGTTTTTCTAATTTCAAATTCTTAATTTTAATATCTTATATTAAATTATAATTTTTTACCCAATTATCAAATATTTTAACTACAATTAATTAAATCTATTATATTCTTACATGTACTATTAAATTAAAATTAAACATATAATACCATTTTAAGCGTATTATCAACATCTTTGAAAAATCTAGAGTAGTTACAAATTTATAAGTAGCAATTTAGGAACATGCCAGCCATCGCGTGATATGCCACCTCAAGTCGGTGTTTCAGTGAACTTGAATATATTAAACCAAGGCTAAGTATTATTTACTAAGATTTTCTTGGAAAAATAAGATAAGCTTAACTTTTAAGTCGACGTAGAAACAGCTATAAAAGTTGTTTTTTATGTTTTATCATTAAATTTACTTTCATATGGGTAGTGTATGGTTTACTGAAGGAGGTGGAGTTCAGTTCTTATTTGAGACTTGCACATATTTGTTGTTTCGATCAAGTTTTTAAATTACATTGTTCAATTTACTCAAGCCACAATTATAAATATTTTACTACTATCTAAAACAAACAAACAGGACGAACGCTTGCCTCATTTGAGAGTCGAACCTGCATTAACGCAAATATCCGTGGCATAAAAGAGTGTCCCACATCACAAGGGATCGGCACAATATTTCTTACATTAAAATTCTATTTCTTACATTATTATATTACATTTACAGCCCTTTAAAATTATTACACACAGACCAACAGACAAATGAGCGGACAGAGTACACGTCCCAACCCAATTCAACCCTTATCGTATGAATCTTTTAAAATTTAATTTATGGAGTACATTTCCGCTCCAATCTTGTTTATTAAATATAAGCTCGCTATATCCCTAGGTGTCTGATAGTAACTCCAGGCTCAATGGTAAAGGTGTACAAACATACACACTAACAAACTTTCACCTTTATAATAGCAATCTTATATAATATTTACCGCGTAAATAGGTTTCAATTGTTTCCTTAATACAGCGACCATGGCATATATGGTGATGGACAATGTGACGGCAGCCAAGACAGCCAGGAGGATCATCGCGACCAGTCGGCCAGATTGATCGGTGGTAATGACTTTCATCGCGATAGCCGCTAGAACTGTTACCACCATAACAGCTATTGCGAGGACCTGCGAAGATTTTATTAAGATTTTAACGGCAAAAACATATTTTTCATTCGTTTAGAGTAAATAAATCAAGAAGAGTTACAGAAAAGTTTAATTGTTCTGGAGATAGTAATATATAATATGTAAATGAACGAGCATTTTTAATTTGTAGTTGATTTAAACACGTTATGTTCAAGTTAAGGTACGCATGTTTTTTTTTCTTTAATAAAACAATACAACGTGATATGCTAATATGGCCGCAAATATATTCTATATTTAACAATATACTTACGTATAAAAACTAAATAGTGTCACGTTAGGGTCCACAAGTTAAAAAGTGACGATCTTAGGAAAGGTTCTCTTTTCGTATGTTTTTAAAATCCTGACTGACTGCAATCTTAGTAACTATCAATATAATAAATATGAAAGTTTATGTTTGTTGTAGTTCATCTTACAAGAATATATAAAAGGATCTATGCTCACAGATCGATCATCAAGAATACTTAAAACATAAGATATAGGATAATAGTTCAATTTTAGTTTCAGCAGTTTCAACAGACAAAAATTCTAAAGACTATAGATTTGACCTCTGTATCGATCATAATGTTTATTTCAATAAGATTTTCCAAAAAAATATTTAATGTACAGATTCGGCTTAGTTACAATTTTATTATATGTATAGAAAATAAAACTTACAATATTGATTAGGCATAGTGCTACATATATGAATTTGATTAATCTCTGACGTAGCTTTTTCTTCTTTTTGCTGCCTGTTTTGGGGTCTATCTCGTACTGATCTTCAAGGAACTCGCTAGGCTTAGCGATTTGCGTTAGTGGAACCGGCTCTTTTGCTGTAAAAGAAATGACTAATTTAGACGTTTTATCGCAATCTAAGAAATTTATAACAACATAGAGTGTTTTCCAAATCCTAATAATAAATATAACTATTTTATGTACTTTATATGTATGTCTTAAAACAGTTTCCTTTCAACCACACCTAGCAGGTCAGACATACGGTACAGACTCACCACTCTGTTCTCCTGTTTCCGCGGTTCCTTGCGTACCATTGTGATTTGTAACTGACCCTATAATTAATAAATAATAAATAAATAATCAAAAACCGTTCTATCATGAAATACCACACTGAAAATTCTCATTTTTTTAGCAATTTGACTGTTTTTAAGGAGTTTCTATTTTGGACTAAAAGTATAACGAACCTACTCCCGCGGTGTTCCCCATGGCTGACCTAATGAATGACACTTGACCACTGCTCCTATATATATAACCAAGAACACAATAGTCCACGGCCGCAGATGCTTGGATGATCGAACATAATGGGCTATAAAGTTATTCATGTGGTTTACTACTTTATCAGGAATTCCGTTTAAGATATCGGCTGTACTTATGAAGTAGCATGGTGGTGTTATATGTCTGATACCTTTTTTTCAGGTTATAGGTTCAAGCCGTAGGGTTAAATATTTAATAAATACAAATATTTGTATTAATATACTCATAAAAAAATGTATAGTGCTTTGTCTTCAAATTGATGGAAGGAATGGAAGAAAAATTACAGCAGCCTAACTGTAGATGAATTAGAAGTTATTTTTTATTATTTGTAATATAGCCCTCTTGATACTTTATGAGCCTTCGTTTTATTGAGACCTCTTATATTAATCTTCATATGTTTTTTTTAATTTATTAAAAAATTAAACTACCACATTATAGTACATACATGAAGTGGTGAACACAAATCTCGTTGTAATCGGAACTTTTATTTTTTATTATTAAAAATGAAGTAAAATTATAAATTTATTTTACTTGCAAAATCAGATGAGAGATGTAGAGAAAGACTTGCAGCAAGCCGTAAGAATTTTTTTTGAAGCAAATAACAGCGTGTTACCGTATAGTTTTAACCGAGTCCAATATTTTTTTGTTACTTATGTGGAACACTAATTTGTTTTATCCGCATTAATAAAGAGGTAAATTATGTTTATTTATCAGCTGTTTTTTTTCAACTAATCTTTTTTTTTTAATAGTTTCAAAGTGCATGAAGGGAAAATTCTCCTTTTGAGACGCTTCTTCATTTTTTTACTAACAGTAAGTCTTACTATCTCTAAGGAACATACTTTTTATCAACATGCAGTGCCAACGTAGTTTGAAAGTGAAATTTTGGACTTTCATTCCATATTTTTATGAAAATTTGAAAGCAACAACTATGTTATAAATATTTTTGAGTTTTTTGTCGCTTTGTTTACTTGCTCGCAATAACCTAAAAACTTAGAAAGTATTAGTAAGTATTGTATCTACATACATGTTGTAACATCTTGTATATCCTGCAGAATGTTTCATTCCATATTCTATAATATTTTGTACACTAATTAGATATTTACATTAAACGAAAAGTATTAAAATAAATAAGTCTAATTGCTTTGAACTTACCATAGTTTGGAGAATATAACAAAATAGGTCTCTGATCCACATTAACAAAAGAACAAACAACCATTTCTAAACAGTTAAAACTAAAAATTTAACATCACAACCAATCATTTTAAATTTATTACTTTTCAAATCGACATTTTCCTTCCACGATGTCTTAACAAAGTATGTATATAATATACTAGCTTCAATAATACGTAATTTAGTAGCGTATTTATAGGCCATACGTCATGGCGCTAAATAAGATAAATTATAGAAACAATATGGAATTGTTTACATTAAATTGTGAATCCTATAGATCTATTATCATTGTGAATACAGAGGCTGAATCTATAGTTACTAGAATTTTTGTTTGTCTGTCTGTCGGTCTGGGAACGCATTACGAGAAAACCACTGGCCCGTTTTTGATGAAATTTGGTATGATGATAGCTGGTTATCCGAGTCAACATATAGGATATTTTTTACTACGGGAAAAAATATCATCTTTAAGACATCTATACTAAACTTTAAAACGTAACAAGGGGCGAACCCGACCGGAGCGAGGGTAAGTCGCTAGTCTGAAATAAAATGTCTCTTTAAAAACAAGTTTAAGATAAATTTAAATGAAATTGATAATAAAAGCTATGCTTATATCTTACATAAACGGTGTTCGACTGATAATAACAAATACACACCCTATGTACAATACGTTACAGTAGATAAAAGATATTATCACTTTAAATGAAGGTGTGTCGTATTTGTTGTTGAGAATCTATTTAGAGATGTCGTTTGTAAATAGCTTAAAATAAAGTCACTTTTAAAGCCATTTTGTTTTCCTGTTTTTACTGTTTTTTTTTTGACTCCAAAAAGGAGGAGGTGTTTCATTTGTGTGTTATCTGTACATATAATAAAATTCTAATTGAGTCGAATCTGTACATTAAATATTTTTTGAAAAATATTATTGAAATAGTCATTATTATCGATACAGAGGTCGATTCTATAGTTTTCAGAATTTTTGTCTGTCTGTCTGTTACCGCATCACAGAATAAACTGGAAGGATTTTGATGAAATTTAGTATGATGATAGCTGGTTATCCGGGTCAACATATAGGATACTTTTTAGTGCGGGAAAATATCTGAGAAAAAATGCAAAAACTGCAATGTAGAGTAAACTAATCTGTAAAACCTAAGAATTTGGTTTTTGGTCATCTGAAAGCAGGCGAAGCCGCGGGCAATGCTATAAAATATAAGTGACTAGCGTACGTTATTTTTTCAATAGATAAAAATAGTTGCTTTGAGTGAATCTTGGGAGATAAACACATGCTATCACGGACTTTTTCGTGAATTCGTAAATTCAAATTTTATGTAATGTATTACATATTTATATAGATCTAATAGAGATCTATTAGTTCCCACGGGATCCGTTCACTTTTCCCGGATGAAAAGTAACCTGTTGTTTGACCGGCAATATAAGGTATCAGAATGTTAAATTTTACTAAATTACATCCCCCTGGCTCTGTTTTTAGTTTTTTTTTTATGTACAGACATTCGACCTCTACAATTTTATTATAATATAGATAATGTATTTAATGTGTGACGATACGTTTGGCTCAGCTTGTAGTGACCCTACTTGCTGTGCCAGCGGTCGCGGGTTCGAGTCCCGCTGGAAGTATTCAATTGTGTGATGAGCACGAATACTTGTACTCCAGTCATGGGTATTTATATTTATAATATGTATGTATTTAAAGTTATATATGTATATGTAGTGTATCATTATCTGTTATCCATAACACAAGCCTCGTAGCTTACCATGGAACTAGATGGTGCTGCGTGATAATGTCCCAACATATTTATATAGACATCCCGCCAAGAGTAGTATAATAGGAAAACAACTCAATTCGACTTCAGATTTGTATTAAAAAAAAGATTATAATTTTATTCAAACGAACCGTCCCTATTCGTAAATGAATAGGTGTGTTTCAAACAATTGCAAATTTCGTTGCCTTGATTAATAGGTAGGTACCCTATTGTGCGTGGTGTTTGCGATGTGGTGGCCATAGAAACAGCTACCATATAGATTCACCATAACTCGTATGGTCTGCAAGGAAATTAAGTCAATTAAAACGAAATTTTTGAAGCAATTTAGTAAGTAAAAATATAAAAATACTACTTTATGGTTTTAAGACTTGTATTGCCCTCTAATTTTTACCCGACTGCGGCGAAAGCCAAAGTAGGGTCTTGTGTTTGACCTGTATGTATATATGTATGTACGTATGTATGTAAGTATATAGTACCTAGGCCTCCGAGTTTTTGGTTAAAAAGTACAATTTTCTTTAAAAAAACTAAAAACTGGAATAAATACAAAAAAAAACAAAAAAAAAATTATACCTTTGTACCGACCGGGATTCGAACCCAGACATCTATGATTGTCAATCTTGCGTCTTTTTTAAAAAAAAACTAAAAACTTGAATAAATATTAAAAAAAAATAAAAGTAAAAACTTTGTATGCGGCCGAGATTCGAACCTGGACACCTGTAATTGTTGATCTTGCACCTTGGCCGCTTGACCACGATGCTTATTCCCGAGCATATTTTGCGTGGAATAGCAAAAGAAAACTGTATGAAAACTCGAAAACACGCGTTTTCTCAGACATAAGACTAATCTAGATCGATTTATCGCCCCCGAAACCTCCTGTTGGCTAAATTACATGAAAATCGTTGGAGCTGTTTCCGAAATTCAGATTACAATAAAAAAAATAGTATTATGATTCGCCAATAGATGTCAGAAAGAGTCATTTTTTTCTGTTTATGTTTAAGTGGCAACATTAGGACTACCCAAACGCCACTTTTTTATTATCTTTTTCCAATAAAAAAAATTAGTTTATGTTTCAGTTGATTATCGATAAAGTTGATTATTGAAAACACAAATAAAACGACATTTTCTAAAACTACCTGGGCCACCGAGCTTCGCTCAGATTCATTCAATCAATTTTCTCTAAAAAAAAACTTTAATAAATACAAAAAAAACAAAAATAAATTATACCTTTGTATCCGACCGGGATTCGAATCCGGACACTTATTCAATCTTGCACCCTGACCGCTTTACCATGACGCTTATATCCGACCGTGCGAAATTATCGAACATAATATTTTGCGTGGAATAATGCAAAAGAAAATCGTATACAAATTCGAAAACGCGCGTTTTCCCAGACATAAGACTAATCTAGATCGATTTATCGCCCCAGAAATTATATTAGATATATATGTGTTTTGATGATTCATACGTTGTTAGGTTCGTCTTAATAACGTGAAAATCATAGGGTATATAGATATTATTAAAATTCAAAATGGCGGATCCTAGGCGTCAATTTTTCTGTCTTAAAAAATGTTTTTTCTTGGGATTCCAATAAAAGGAATAACATCGTGTTCCGATATTTAAAAAGTCTTGTGGTTTTTAGGCGCCTTCAGTGTAGATGAATAGAAACGGATACACCTTATATATGATGGTGACCTCCACATATTATATACAATTATTGAGCTAAGCACAGCTCTTCCATGTAGCTAAATAATTTAAGATAACTTTGCTGTAAGTGGACAGAAAATGTCAACAAATAAAGCTAAGCTCAGAACTAGTAGTAAGCTCAGCTAAGTTTATGCTCTCTATTTCGTTGATTTCAATTAATACAATAAACAAGAATAAGTCCTTCAAACAACTTTTTTTTTTGCAATAATTAACTGTATAATTTTTTTACAGGGCAGTGGTAAAGCGCTCGCTTGAGAAACCGAGTGGTTCTGGTTCAAATTCCGGGCCTCGCACCTCTGATATTTTCAAGTGCGAATCATTTCTAGCATGATTACCACTTGCCTTACGGTGAAGGAAAACATCGTGAGGAAACCTGAGTGTCTGAGGGATCTTAGCAAGTTTTCGAAAGATATATGAAGTCCGCCAACCCGCACTTGGCCAGCGTGGTGGACTATGGCCTAATCCCTCTTGTATTGAAGGGAGGCCCGTGCCCAGCAGTGGGACGTCTAAAAAAAAAGGGGCTGAATACAACAACATTTTTTTTATTTTATTTTTATTTCTTTTACAGTTGAGTTGTACTTAACGCAATTGTAAGCAAATGTTTGTCGATAAAGTTAAAAAAATCGAACCAATGACCAGGATTATGGTAAAATAGCAAATGTTGCTTCTGTCGGTACAACTTGGCATTGAAGAGACACTATAATTACCCTCGCTGAAAAGCTCTACGAAGAGCTTTTCCTTTATCGACTTACAATGTAAGCTAAGTAAATACCACGAAATATAGAACAATCACATATTTTTTGTCTTTAATATTTGTATAAAGTTAGTAGTTTAGAATAGTAAATAGTATAAACGTGTGTATAGTATAAGAGCGAATGAAATGCAAAAAAAAGAAAAGTTTGTGAGTATGGATGTTTTTTACTCTTTCACGCCAGAACGGCTGAACGGATCTGGATGAAATTTGGCACAGAGATAAATAGATTATAGTCTGGAATAACACATTTACTACTTTTTATCCCGGAAAATGTACGGTTCCCGTGGGATAGCTTTGTTTTTGTTTTCATAGAGATGAATCCGAGCGAAACGAGGGTGAGCCGTTAGTAAATAATATATTATTCGTCCGACTATTGTCGGTTTGTACGAATATTTACCACTTTTTTGTTTTCTAATGTAAAATATGTGATTTTTAGGTGCAGAAGTTACTATATGCAAAAAAAAACTTAGCCTACCGAGCTGAATCGAGCTACTTATTTATTAGTCTATTCGTCCGTCTTTATAATTTGTCCTATCTATAATACATATAATAAAATTCTATCTAAGCCAAATACGTACATTAAATATTTTTTGGAAATTCTTATTGGAATAGACATTATTATCGATACAGAGGCCAAATCTATAGTTTTAAAATTTTTGTCTGTCTGTCTGTCTGTCTGTCTGCGGTAACCCGCATGACGGAAAAACCACTGGAAGAATTTTGATGAAATTTGGTATAGTGATAGCTGGTTATCCGGGTCGACATATAGGATACTTTTTAACGCGGGAAAATATTCCATTTCTGAGAAAAAGT